GCATTTTTTTTAGTAGAGTCGGGGTTTCACCATGTTGACCAGGATGGTCTCGATCTCTCAACCTTGTGATCCACCCGCCTCGGCCTCCCAAAGTGCTGGGATTATAGGCGTGAGCCACCACGCCTGGCCTATAACTGGTTTTAAATCCTGACACTGTTGTTTGATTTTTGGCTTTTTTAAAAAAGAAATCAAAAGGATTGGGGAGAGGCTAGGACAACTGCTGTTGTGAGAAAAGGGGGACACTTTGGAGTTTGGCATTTACAGGTTCTTATTTAAGAATCGCATAAAAAAATCCTGAGTATACATAATGTTCAGAGATGAGAAGCATTAACAAAAACGAAAGCTGAAAACTGATGAAGAGATCAAAAGATAAAACACTGAACACCCCTCAAACTTCTCCTAGCATTTGAACTCCTTAAAATCTCACTATCCCCCAAAAATAAATAAATAAAAATAAAAATACAAAAACAAACAAAAAATAAATAAATAAAATCTCACTATCCAAAGGCAATCCTCAAAAAACATTTATTGGCCGGGCACAGTGGCTCATGCTGGTAATCTCATCACTTTGTGAGACCGAGGTGGGTGAATTACTTGAGGTCAGGAGTTTGAGACAAGCCTGGCCAACATGATGAAACCCTGTCTCCTTTTTTTTTTTTTTTTTTAGTTATCAATCTGTAGGATATCCCTTTTTCTTTCCACTCAATGTTTTGCAGGGTGTTAAAAAGCAAGGAATTCTACATTTGAGGCAAACACAATTTTTTTCTCTTATATTTTTATACTTATATGTGTTCCATGTGAGAAAACCTGCCTCTACTAAAAATACAAAAATTAGCTGGGTGTGGTGGCACATGCCTATAGTTCCAGCTACTCCAGAGACTGAGGCAAGAGAATCAGTTGAACCTGGAAGGCAGAGGTTGCAGTGAGCCGAGATCATGCCACTGCACTACAGCTTGGGTGACAGAGCCAGACTCTGTCTCAAAAAAAAAAAAAAAAAAAACCAAAAACATAGTTTATTTTCCTCTTAATGACTAAGAGCCATCAGGTTGGGTGTGGTGGCTCTTGCCTGTAATCCCAGAACTTTGGGAGTCATAGGCAGGTGGATCACAAGGTCAGGACTTCAAGACTAGCCTGGTCAACATAGTGAAACCCCGTCTTTACTAAAAAATACAAAAAAAAAAAATTAGCTGGGCATGGTGGCATGTTCCTGTAGTCCCAATTACTCAGGAGGCTGAGGCAGGAGAATCACTTGAACCCAGGAGGTGGAGGTTGCAGTGAGCTGAGATTGTGCCACTGCACGGCAGTTTAGGCAACAGAGTGAGACTTTGTCTCAGAAAAAAAGCTATCAGTTTCTAACATAGACCATTTCTTCACATAAAAACCATTCTATAGGCTGGGCACGATGGCTCACGCCTATAATCCTAGCACTTTGAGAGGCCAAGGTGGGCAGATCACCTGAGGTCGGGAGTTCAAAACTAGCCTGACCAACATGGTGAAACCCCATCTCTATTAAAAATACAAAATTAGCCTGGCGTGGTGGTGCATGCCTGTAATCCCAGCTAATCGGGAAGCTGAGGCAGGAGAATTGCTTGAACCCAGGAGGCAGAGGTTGCAGTGAGCTGAGATGGAACCATTGCACTTCAGTCTGGGTGACAAGAGTGAAACTTCATCTCAAAAAAAACCACAAATGTACAGTCAGGCTGGCATGTGGCTCACGCCTGTAGTCCCAGCACTTTGGGACTTTGGGAGGCTGAGGTGGGAGAATCGCTTTAGCCCAGGGATGTCAAGGCTGCAGTGAGTTGCGCCATTGTATTCCAGCCTGAGGGACAGACTGAGATCCTATCACTAACAAACAAACAAACATTTTAAAACATGGAAAAGTACAGAGGGCTAAGATTTATGTTCATATATGCCCATTGCAACATTATTTATAGTATCAGAAAACTAAAAACAATAAAAATGTGTAACCATTTGCATGGCTAAATATCTTCACTTGATGAAAGGTATGGTGTTTAAAAAGGTGTAATAAACTTTAACAAAGAAAACCTAAAAAGCAAGATACTATTAAATTGTATGTACAGAATGATCTTAACTGTTTAAAAATAAAGAAAAAAAGATTAAAAAAATAAAAATATTAAGATTCTATCTACTTGGAGAAGACCATTTTTTTTCAGGAGAATGTATTACATATAGAAAGAATGTTAAGGTTTACTAGGACTAGATAGGATAACTTAATCATAAGATAAATACAAGCGAGGAACGGGATTAGATAAAATCTTATGAAGTAAATAGAATTTAAGAATCCAAGGCTGGGTGCAGTGGCTCACGCCAGTAATCCCAGCACTTTGGGAGGCTGAAGCAGGTGGATCATTTGAGGTCAGGAGTTTGAGTCAGACCAGCCTGACTAACATGGTGAAACCCCGTTTCTCTAAAAATACAAAAAAAATTAGCCAGGCGTAGTGGTGCATGCCTGTAGTCCCAGCTCCTTGGGAGGCTGAGGCAGGCAGGAGAATCTCTTGAACCAGGAGGTGGAGGTTGCAATGAGCTGACATGGTGCCACTGCATTCCAGCCTGGGCAACAGAGAAAGACTCAGTCTCAGGAAAAAAAAAAATAATAATTCAGGGAAATTGCATCATCTATATCTTTAATTCCTAACAAGTCAACTACGTTCACATGACCTGTATTTTTCACACGGCCCATGTTTTTCATACAATAGAGGCCTGAAATGGAAACCAATGACTTCATTTGTTGCTGATCTGCAGCAACAGTGATGGACTCCAGCACTGGAGGAAAATCTGGCTGCACTGGATTTATGAAGAGATGGTAAAGAATGTATTAATCCTGACTGCTACTATACACTGGACAACTCAAGGGGTTTTTCCAGAGTAATATTCATAGATCAGATGCAATTTTCATTTGACATAACTATAAAATATAACTTTTGGTGCTAGTTTCAGCAGCACAGATACAATACTAAAATTGGGATGAGACAGAGATTAGCATGTCCCCTGCATAAGGATGACATGCAGATTCATGAAGCATTTCATATTTTAAAATACCTATCAGGTACTATGCTTAGTACCTGGATAATGAAATATTCTGCACACCAAAATCTCATGACACAAGTTTACCTATATAACAAAACTGCACATATGCTCCTGAACCTAAAATGAAAGTTAAAAAAGAAAAAAAAAAGGAATATAATCTTTGGTTAAAAAATGACTCCTACCTTGATTTTAAGAAAACTTTAGCCAGGCGCGGTGGCTCACGCCTGTAATCCCAACACTTTGGGAGGCCGAGGCGGGTGGATCATGAGGTCAAGAGATCGACACCATCCTGGTCAACATGGTGAAACCCCGTCTCTACTAAAAATACAAAAAATCAGCTGAGCATAGTGGCGCGTGCCTGTAATCCCAGCTACTCGGGAGGCTGAGGCAGGAGAAT